ACACTGATGTTGCTGTCCTTGATGATGATGATGATGATTCCGCAACATTATCACACCATACTGTTTGGACTTTCAACTACTTACGGTCCACCACAACCAAAGTTGCGGCGCAATCTCACATTCAGTCACACAATTCCACTCGAAGACATAACGTTGAGGGGATTCACAAGACCAGAACGATGGAAGGTACAGTGTGTTACCTTATGCTACCGAACCAGAAAGCAGCTAACTAGTTGATCTTCCGTGCAATGACGAGAGCCACGCTTAGCCCCAAACAACTCGGTCGCCGAACTGTAAGACCTTTATGTTGTCTCACATTTGCTCAAACACTCGTACCGATAAAATTAATGACTACATTTGACAGATGAAAACGCCTTGCGATTCCCACACCCAAATCACATAAGGTGTCGCCAAGAGTAAACGGCTCATGTCAGACAGGACTTTTGAACATGTAATCGTGGTAGACTATACTGTTCAACTTACTGAGATACCTACAAATTCTGAAGAAAACATGTTACTATGTGCAACTGTTCATTTATTTAAGTATTAATATCGAAAATGCTGTAAATATGTATTACAATGGTTCATCCGGTGTGTTCTTGCTTTACGACCACAGAAGTCTGTGTTATAGCTCGTGCGTTGAGCGCCGGACGATTATCACGGTGGTTTGGAGTCCATGAACCGAGACTGTCATACGCATAATAATCCATTGGATAAGCCGAGTCTGTCGTTTCTCGCCATTCAGCCAAATCCAACGCAACAGCTGCCTCGTACGGGGTGAGAATAGGCTTCTGAAATTCCGTACCCCAGTCGATACTGAGTCGCGGACAAGCTACCTGTGGAAGAGATAAACAGACTCCGTCAAAGGCATGTGGGAGTTTCCAGTGCAAAAACAGTAACTAAAATTTCTCGGCGCCCGTTAAAACAGGTTCTGTAGATTAGCTGCTGAAGTTTCACGACTCTTTCCGAATCTAGTCCTTCCTTATCGTGGAGCGACTGTTGACCATAGTGTAACAGCTGGTGCTCATGGACTAACGGTGTAGGGTGACGCTAAATGTTGGTATAAATGGGTGTTGGTCTCACCCCGTACTACGAATAAGACTGGAAGCTGGACGGCTCGGCCCTTTTAGCGGTCAGCCATGACTAGCCAGGACCAGTACACACCTTAGTATCATAGTAATGAATAAATAATCGTCAAGTTGTAACACCCTTCCGGTACCTAGCTGCCATGCTACCCGAAGGAAGCACGAGGGCTGGGATATTGCCAGGTTGCCCAAGCCTAGACAGGGGAAGTCGAGAGGCAGGGGTCGGTTTCGAACCATGGACCTTCCGGTCAGTAAATTCGCGCACTAACCACTGAGCCATCTCGCCCACCTGAAGATGTTTAATCGCAACAACGAGAGGCCAAGGTCCCAGTGATTACCAATCACCGCTTTCGCCAATCGATTGCACTGTCAAAAACCTGGTATCCGAGATGGCACAATTCTCCCAGACATCAGATATGCCTGAACTGCGATTAATCCAATCGCGCGAGTTTATAAAAATGAGAAGTTCAGTGGTTCATGTGCATACTTCTGAGGTCAAATGGACTTCACTACTCAACGCTCAGGACCAAATGCCAGTATTGCTGATGTGTTCTGAAAAACGGCTTTATCCGAATACTTACGGTAGTGAAGCATCGGCGTTGAACACTGATGTCATGCTGTCGATGATGATGATGATCAGAATACTCGGAAAACGGAGCCACGGGACACCGATGGCTTTCGGTGACCCTTTCACAAAGGGAGTATTGTATTTAACCATCTATTGTGGCGTTGAAGTTGAAGTCTTCTGGTTACTTAACCGTTCCCTGATCGCAAAACTCCGTACAGATTTACACGATATGGACTCTGTCTCATGGCAGCATAACAGAAGTAAGTTTGTATGTGGGCTGTTTGATCGTTCACACAGTATAAATTTGCCATAGCAGTGAGATGGAATTTCGCCCTTGAATACCTATCAACCGCCACAAGACCGTCTGAAGCAGGCTTTTACTTACTTTAACCACATCCGTTCCTGGAAGACAAGCCTGCAGCAGACAACTAGATGAGTGCCTATGCACTTGAAGCATATAACAAAATGGATCAACCGAAAGACTGTTGAGCCACGTAACCAAGTGATAATCTGTCTATCGATAACCATATCCTCAAGAATATTCGCAAGTCGAACTTGAGGGTCGCACTGAAGGTCACTCCCTGTAATTGGGAAAGACCTGTCAGTCCCCCAAAAAGGGACTGTGACTTGATAACTAGCATGTACTCAGGTTACCACGGTTGACTTAAGGACAATCACAATTGTGTTTGTCCACATCCATGGTTATTGAACTGTGTGCTTTTTATGGCATTTTGCAATCGACCGGGAAGTTGGCGTACAGAAAATGGTTGTGGTAGTATTCCCCAACAGAACCCGTAAGCGACGCCCAAATAACTTTGAGGCAGCCTCCTATTAGGAGGAAATTTTTCTGATTAGCTCCGCAGTCTGTCTGCCTTGTACCTCACGCATTTCGCTGACTGAAGGATTGTTTTGAAAACATTTCGTGTTTGATCTACTTTTTGTCACGACCCTTTGATTGTAAGTACGCTTTTGTTAGACCAACTAATATGTCGCTCCGGACGATATGAAGCTGGACGCAAAGTGTAAATGTTGAACAGTGACGTTGCTAGCAGCCTTGATCAGATGATCAGATTCAAGCAACGCACCTGAATCCATACATCGATCTGGTCCTCAAATAAGGCCAGTTTGGCAGGGAAAATCTCCGACAGCAAGACAAAGATGAAAGATTTGTTCAGTGCGCGAAGTCGTGCCTCCAAATTCCGTGCCACTGGCGGTGAACCTTGTCTACCAAGAGTTCCTGGAGAAAACCAAGTAAAAATCATAAATATCACGTAATTGGATACGCATACCTGGAATAAGAGTGCACAAGTCATAGACACAAGAGGATCTCCGTATGAAAATGTAGACAAAAGTTATCCGAGACCGTCAAAGACGCATTTGTTTTAGTCATAATCGTGTGACTCAGAGAGCACTGGTCAAGAGAAAAAAATAATTTAGAAACGTGCAGTCAGTGTAATACGGAGCGTCACCCTTACAAGGAACCCCAAAGCAAGCAAAACCTTATGAAGAATAACTTTTGAGTTTTTTTGAAGGAAAATATTTCTTTTGAGAATGAGTGGGCGAGGAC